TTTTCCAGCAGTTTTTGGTTTTTGCCAAGACAAATAACAAACAAAATATGCAAAAATAAGATTTAAAAGCGGCTCGGCACAAACGAAATGTTTTGTATACAACTTGTGTATATTTAAAGTCTGCATTAACCATCAAAAGTTATTGTAAGAAAGTGAATAGGTTTTGAGCTGGTTCCGAAATAAATAAAGTGATATCCATATAATTATATATAGTCTAGACTCGGACAAACTGTAATCTTGAGCAGCTCGTTAGCCACAACTGACTGCGTCGCTAGCCACAGTTGAAGTTGGCTAATTGCCAGAGAACATCAGCTGAAAACGGCGTAAAATGGACGGCTGAAAATGAGAAGCTAGACAAGCAAGTGTCTAACGATTACCGTCCACTCCTCCGCCGCCACCTCTGACTCCGACTCCGACTCCGACTCCTGGTGGTGCTGGTGCTCCCGATTCCCATTTGATGCATTTGCCGCTGCACATTGATCGAATGTTAATTTGAAAATAAATGAACGTTAATTATACGCTTCACATTTGGCAGCGGGCACTTCCTTTTTCTCGGGTGTGAGAACTGCTGCACTTGACAGCGGCTGCTGCTGCTGCCGATGTTGCCCTTTGACCCGCGTATGAGTCTGACAAATCATGTCTGGCCTTTTGATGTTATCGCACTCATTAATGCCACAACGAGTGCTGGGCGTGAAGGCGTGGCAGCGACGCCAGCTTAGCATTTGTTGACAGCTGGTAGCACTTGAGTTGAGTCTAACAAGGCCAAGACGGGGCAAGGCTGTTGTTGTTGTTTTGTTTTGTGTTTTTGCGCAGACTTGGCTCGGTGACAGCTGCCTGGCTGCGTCAGAGGCTCAGTGCGTCCTGCCACGCACTTAGCCAGGCAGACACACACACACACACACACACACACACACACATGAACGCACACACACGCACAGCACGCACACACACCTTTCACACCTTTCGGCACACTGCGACCGACTGTAGGTGTGAAGCGGAATTTCCAGTGTGTGTCTGCTGCCGTCGCATCGGCTTATCTAAATTGCTTTTCGAGTATCAATATTTTAGCTCAAGTGTAAATTATAACGCCCCGTCTGCAGTATGGGACATGCGGCATGCGGCATGAGGCATGCGGCATGTACAGGATTCAGCGAGGTGCCACCGAGTCGCAGTTTATTTAGTGCTAGGCCATAGATAAATCTAAAAGCCTTGGCGTTACCGACCACCAATCGTCGCCACCAATTAGCCGAGCCGAGCCGAGCTGAGCCGTGCCGTGCCGAGCCATTTTGAACGGCATAAATTACGCACGCCAACGTATTCATAATTCTATTTCCGGCACATTAACTCAACGCCGACAAACCACACATTCCCATGCCCAGGCTTATTTGCAGGGGTCAGTCTGAGACTCGAAGCTCTCCCAGCTCAGATACAGCTCCAGCTTAAAGATTTGTCGCTGACACGCGATCCGAGCGGCCAACGGGATGTGCTTCATTAATTGGCGTCCAAGCCATAAAAATCTTTGGCTTTTGTTAGCAGCATCCGAAAACAAAAATCAGGTAAAAGTTGTTAATAAAACGAAAACTAAACTAAATAAAAACAAAATAAAACGAACAAAATTAACAGAAGACAACAAAAGAAATAATAACAAATAAAAACGAAACGAAACGAAACGAGCTAAAACAGAGTCAAACTGAGCGCATTATAATCAGATTATGAGCACTAATGATCCTTTAATGATCGGCGTTTAGGTCTCGGGCTCAAGATTGGTTTTAAATTGAAAGCCACATCCAGCTCGGGCCATAAAACGAAATCAAATCGAATCGAATGAAGCCATATCAATTTTAAGCGTAACGTATTTCCCCTACACTTTGCTTAAGCGGATGTTGGCCAAAAAAAATAAAGAAAAACAAAAATAATTAATAAATAAATGAGGAAAAAACAAAGTTGGTGCCTCCAAGTCTAATTTCTTCAGCTTTAATGCTTTGAATCAAAGTATTCTAATAGATTTTCTGTTAACTCTTTAAAAGAATACAGAATTCGCCCCTCGAATACTGTAGTCGAATAATAGGGAATTAATGATTGTATAAAGCGCTATAAATATAATTATTACTGTATTCTTAATGAAACGCTTCGGAAAATAATCCATATAATATTTCGGGAGAAAGACATTATTATATTAAATTTCGTATATAGTCAAAGTCTTGCAATCTTCTGTGATGTCCTTAAACATAAAACTATATTCACAAAGAATTAGTTTTGCATTAAAAGCATTTCGGAATTTAGAAATAAATAAAATTCCATTTATAATCAAAACAAATAATATTATTTGGTCATTTTCAAATAATAATACAAAAACACAAATGAGCTATTGGAGAATCGGCTATCATATTTTTCGGATTATAACTAAAAATATATTCAAGCGATTATTTTTCTTATAGCTTTATATCTATATGATATAGATATAAATGATATATTAGTCCGATGCAAGTTTTGTAAAATCATAAAAACATTTATTTTTAAACAAATGAAAAAAACTAATTGAATTATTGATTGACATGTTGTACATGATGTATGTTATAACTGTGTGTGTGTTGAGAAACACCGCAACGCTAAGAAATATTAATTGAATCCATCATCTTACAGGAATGTTAATCATTCTGTAACTCAACAACTGCTAGTCAGAAATAGAGTATACATAACCATATATTAAAAACACCATCATTGTATGCGATAGTTAATCGATCTGTTACTTAACTAGCTGCTAGTTAGAGGTAGGGTATGCATAATGCACGGTATTGTTTGGTGCATATCTTACACTGTGCAGCACATTGACTCAGTTTTGGTGGCTGTTGCCCTTGGTTTAACTCCTTGAACTGCCCAACAAATGCGGGTCGGTGTTAATAGGCCGTGTGTAGGGCATTTGTGCGGCTCATTAAGCCGTTCATTCATTCAACCCGTTCTACTGTTCTAGCAGGGCCCTTGGCTCAGAGCTCAGGGTTTTCATGTTGCATCAATGAAAACAGCGGACGCTATGGGGCGCCTTTGGGCCATGCAACGCGGCTACTGTAAACTCTTTTAGTTGTTGGTGTTATTGTTGTTGTTGCTTTGGCTAATTATTATCTGATATGCAGCAACATACTTGGGAGAGCAGGGAGAGCGGGGTCAGATACGAACTAGACCAGAGAAAAAGAGACCAGCGACCATTTCCGGTAGGCGCTTTGGCTGGCGCGCAAGCGCGTTAATGAACTTTTAACCATTGCTACTGTGCGCTGTGCCAAGGCACGCAGGACCAGGTCTAGGACCAGTCTCAGCGGCATTGATGGAGCGGGGCTTAGAGCTGACGGGGTTCAGGGACAGGTGTAATTTAATTATGTGCAGCAGCGAGCGGGTGTTCTGGCTGCGTCCAATTTTAATGACACATAAAATTGGTAGCTTATGTGCGCCGCAATGAAAACAAAACTGGCAAGGACATGACACAACAGGATCTACACACACACACATACAGAGAGAGCTGCACATGTTGTGCACGAAGCGTTTTCTGTGGCGTCATTGTCCTCGAACTAGATAAACACAAACGTGTCCGTGTCGGTGTCAGCGTCCGAGCCGGAGTCGGAGTCCTAGTCTCAGCCTGAGCCCTTAAAAGCCGCTTAGCGCAATGAGCGGACCAGGGTAATGTGAACCTGTTACCGGTCAGCGACGCGGCCCTTTTGCTGTTGTTTATTTTTCTGTTTCTGTTTTGTTTTTGGTTCAGGTGTTTCTGTGTTTTCGAGTCCGCTCGTCCGCTCGTCCTGTCGTCCTTTCTCTCTTTTTTTTTTGTGGCTACGCGACAGGCGTTAAAATCATGTATCGCTGACTCGTTTAATTACACTTACACGTAATAGCGCGCCCGCATGGAGACCCTCGAGTCAGCGCTTTGTTTTGGTTTTGGGTTTCGTTTTATTTTCTCGATTTTCGGCACTTTTCTAGGCCACTTCAGCGGCCAAGTGAATTGTTGACCAACATATTTCCGTTTTCAATTATGTAGTCTAGTGCTTAACTAATATTTACCGTACTTCAGCTGATTGGCATGAAGACTAAGCAGTTCCTGAATACCCTGCAGTCCACATGACAAGTTGAATTTCTAGCCAACTGTTAGAAATTTTAGAAAAAATGTGATTTGAGTTACCAACGAACTTTTTTAGCGGATTAAAAGCAGTTCGAATCATTTTAGGGCATTTTTTTTTGGTATCTCTTGAGATTTCTTGAGATTTAAGCGATTTAATTTGGTGCAAAATTAAATACAACGAAAATTAAATTATTAAAGCATTAACGTATAGAAATTAATTAAAATATAATCAACATTACGTGTGCGGCATGGCGTGACAGCAAATTGTATTTAATAATAGCGCCATAATATTTATTTGGCAAGCGGGCAGTGAGAGGGCGAGTGTCGGGACAACTGGGGGGCAGCCTTCCCAGCTAACTAAAAGTCAAAGCTGCGGCATGCGGCTCGTTGAGCTGCTCGAATTGCAACTGGGCACACAAAAACACAAACAAAAACAATAAATAAACAATTTGGCAACACACAACAACAAATGTCGTCAAACAAAATTGCCAAGGCTGCCACGCCCAACGCCTAGTTTGTTGCATGTTGCAGGCAGGCCACAAAAACTGAAAAAAAAACCCCAACAAAATAACAACAAGAATGAATTTAAAAAAAATATTAATTGCACTTAAATTGTCACTGCCGCAAAAACTTTGCTGTTGTCGTTGCTGTTGTTTGTTTATCGTTTTATCGGCTGCGGATATTTCATTAGTTTTAGTTGCAGTTGTTGCAGTTGTTGCTGTTGCTGTTTTAAACGCAACTAATTAATGGTAATGGGTCATTTTGCATGGCCATTGCATGGACATCGCTTGTTTGTTGATTTAGTAAGCAATTTTTATATGGGCCCTGTGTATGTTTGTTTTAGCTATCGATTTTTTTGTCATTATTCACACAGTCCACACGAAACACTTGTCAGCTAACCCAGTTGAGCAGCTATACAATAATAACAATTATGAGCTTCATTAAAAAAAGTTTAAATAATTGCAAGCAGAAATTGTTTTCCTTTCTACTTTGTTGCAAGTGTCATCTATTGTAATTATATTTTCGTTAGTTTTAGCATAGAGCAAGTGCTAAACTAAGCAAAAAATCGACCAATTTGGAATATAATGGGGTGTTACTTTGGGCATTAGTTGTAAGTGTTCGACAATGTAGAATAAACATTTTAGTCTCACTTTTTGATTGACATACAAGCTAATAAAGGTGTTTTTTAACAGAAGTATTTAGTATTTAAGTTAGCTTTAAATAATACATTTTTCTATTGATCAGAATCGGTGTCTTAGTAATTAGTCAGTGCCTTTTTGATCAGTATAGATATTAGATATACAAAGTAACCAAAAGTAAACGCATGTCATTCAAATAATATTTATATAAATACATTTAAAAAATTGTGTAACTTAATTTGTCAAAAAAAAAAAAAAGATTTTATATATCTTAACCATCTGTCGTTTCAATCATATCTGTTTTTTAACATGTTGTTTCTGATACTCAAGACATATGTATGAACTAGAAAGAGTATAGGAACCACCACATGAGCGCATATTAACTATTTGGTAACACTAAGAGAGCAAAATCTAACGCTTGCTGAGGACAACTTGACTTCTTCGGGTTCTTTCAAATGCTTTTCGAATCAGTTGTTAAATACCTTTCTTATTAACAAACAGTATTTTGTTTTTTGCAGTATCAACTCATTCAGTTGGCAGCTGCTTTAGTGCGCTCGTTGCACGTTCGCATCTTCTGGCTGGCAATGATGCTTAATCCTTGCCACGTACTCCCATCTAATTGTATAAAAGCGTTTCCGTTACGTACGCCATTTTCACACACCCACACGAACGCACACGAGCACATGGACGAGCAAGAAAGCTGCTGAGTCCTCACTCACACTTACTAGAGCGAGAGAAAGAGACAGGTCAAGTGCTCCATCTCTGTCACGGCGTGTGTGTGTGTGTGTGTGTGTGTGTGTGTGTGTTTGTGTTGGCGCAAACTTCAAGTCAAAGTATCTAAACGCACAGTTTTTCTGTATCCAAAACTGCATTAAATGCCATAAAATAACTTTTAAAATGCTTTTTACTTAACATCCTGCAAGCGTAGCAGGCAAAGCAGAGCAGAGCAGAGCCAAGCAGCGCAGCGACGCCAACGTTACAGCCAGACGCGTGAGGTGTCAAAATTGTAATGGCAAGCAGACCCCCTCCCTAGCACCGGCACCGGCACCGGCACCACCACCAACAACCAACCACCCACTGTGCCGACGCCGAGCGAATTCCTTTGCACACCCACGCGCTGCTGGCAAGCAGAGCGAAACAGAGAGACACACATGCACACACACACACACACATACACACGCGCACAGAGCGAGACGCGGACTCAAAGTGTGAGCGAGGAAAAGAGACAGCGTTGGTTGGTCAGCGGGGAGCGCGGTCGCCATAAAGATTAATTAACAATTTGCTGTAAAAAGGCAGTTGTTGTTGTTGTTTTTTTTTTATTTGTTTACTTGCGCGCTGCTTATGTGCTTTTTTTTTGGCACTCGTCAACATCGCCGTCGCTGCTGCTTATTGGTGCGAAAGTTCAGCTAGCGATTGATGCGTGCGTCAGAGCGAGACGGCTCGTCTGTCAGCCGACTAGGCGGCAGAGAGAGTGAGTGCAAGCGAGCAAGCAGGCGTGGCGGCGCTGCTCTCACGCTGGCTGGACCAAAATTATCGACAGCGGAAGTTAACACACTTTAAATCAATTAGAAAATAAAAGGCGGAGTTTAAACGAGGCAGCTTAGCAGACAAAGACGACGACGACGACGACGTCGGCAACCACCGCGAGCAGCGCTCAGGGCTGCAGCACCACCACCAACACACAGGCCTCAGCCCAAGGGCCTGGCCCCAACCACAGCGTCAAAGCCCGGGTTAAGTGACATGCGTGCGCAGAGTTGTTGTCTTTCGATTTGCCTGCCGTCTGGTTTCGAGTTCCCCTAGCCCTCCCTCTTACTTCTTTGGTCTACCGGTTCTACCGACTGCGACCGTGGTGAGTTTCTGTTGCTGTATCTCTGATTTTTATAGCACGTCTCTTTTGCCTTTGCCTGTGGCTGTGTGGCTGCGATTATAATTTGTAATTTGAGCGTAGCATTCGAAAGAGCTGCTGCTTTATGGCTGGAGGAGATGGGGCTGCGGCTGGAGATGGAGCTGGGGCTGTGCATGGGGGACCACAGTAGCCAAGTGGCCGCATAGCCTCGGGCCTTTAGGCCGGATCCATTCCTAGGTCAGCTGTGTGACAAAACTGTGGGTCAACAAAAACAATGAGATTGCAGTTTGTGACTCGTTTGTCTCAATCAATGAATAGATGAATGGACGCATGACTGAATGAAACCTTACCGTGTATCAATGTGTTATCTTTGCGTCTGTTTCGATTGAGAGAAACAAGGTACAAATTTTTGGTAATGCTGCTCTATTGAAAATATGAAATGTGCTTGACAGATGGAATAGAATGGAATTCCTTGGGAATGCCTCGCTGGCTGGGCACAGCCAGAGCAGCAATCCCAGCCATCGAAGATGCCCGAGTTCGTATAGTTCTCACTACGACTTGATAATTAACCCATTATGGTTAGTTATGGCAGAGTATTCGAATTGAACCAACCCTGCCTATAGAGTATCTGTATGTGTGCTTCTTTGCCCCCTCATAACGCTTCTCGTTGCGCTTTCAATCTGCACATTTTGACAAATTTCTTGTGACATTTGACTAGCACCGCGGCGGCAATGGCAATTGACTGACCGCCAGACAAAGGCGTGGCATTATTAACGCTTTGCTGGTTTTGCTGATTAAGCGTCAAAACTTTGCGGTCAGAGTCAAGGATGAAACAGAAGATGAAGAAGAAGAAGCTAAAGGAGAAGAAGTGAAGATGATGGTAAACGAAGTTGAAAAAGGAGTACAACAACAACAAAAACAACAACCACACATCGGAACAACAAAAGTCGCCGCAATGTCTCGAAAAACTGAAGTCATACTCTGATATAGAATTATCGAACATCTGTAATGGAACACGCCTCTCAAGAGGGCGCAAAGAAATTTAAAATGTTTTCTACTAATTTTTGGGGGTCAAGGAAATCGCTTTTAAGCCCGATTAAGGCTTACATTAAGTCAGTCTAACTCAGTCTGTTATATGCATATATCTTAAGTGTAAAAAGTACTGTAAACATAAATAATAATAAAAATAATAATAATAATAATAATAATAATAATAATAATAATAATAATGATAATGAGAATAATAATAATAATAATAATAATAATAATAATAATAATAATAATAATAATATAATAATAATAATAATAATAATAATAATAATAATAATAATAATAATAATAATAATAATAATAATAATAATAATAATAATAATAATAATAATAATAATAGTAATAGTAATAGTAATAGTAATTATAATAATAATGATAATTTTAATAAGAATAATAAAAGGAGTCTTGCAAAGGAGAAAAGCGTTCAAAAAAAGTATATTTAAACGTAAAAGAAATTTTACATTTTGGTCAAAATGTTAAATATCCTATTATCTATGTATCTATAAAAAAAATAAATCAAATTATGAATGTCCTCAAATATTATTTATTATGTATTCTTTTAAATTTTGCCACTTGTTATAGTACAAATATATTTAAGAGCTTTGCGCATTTTTTTTTATCGGAATTACAAATATTTGTTTTTTTGAAATAACTTAATATACGATTTTTGCACATTCCTGACTGAAGAGTTAGGCATATTGTATTATGCCGTATTATGCTTCTAAAAAATCTTCTAAGCAAATCTCAACTAATTTACGTTTGGATTGGGAAACTCAACAGTCTATAAGTTGGGGTATTTTACAACTACGATAGCTCTTTGTCCCAGCTTAACTATAAGATTCGACTTGTTATTCTTGTATTTCAATTTTAAATTTATTTTTTTGCCGACGTCATCGTCTCCATAAGCCCCCAAGTTGTTGTTGTTGCTATTATTATGGCTTTTTAAAGTATTAAACTAAGCAGCATTTGTTGTCTGTCCGTTTTCTGTGTTTTGTCTGGGAGGCAGTTAAATTTATTTATTTTTTTTCCCTGCGCTCAACTCTCGCCTCGCATTTTCTGCGTCTTTTTGGTTAATTGGCTAAAAATTTTCTACCAAATTACTTTAATTATGACAGTTACACAGACCCACAAGTCTTTCTTTCTTGACTGTTTAGTTGCGCTTATTGCCTTGGCCGCTCTTCATCTGTCATTCCCCATTCCTCGATTTATTCGCTGTCATCTTTTGGATGCTCTAGCATTACAAAATGTGTTAAGTAATTGATGATATTATTGTTACGGATGCGGCAGAGCCGAAGACACTATTTTGAATAGTGGGTCAGTTGAATAGACTTGCGAATGGCTGGCTGCGATGATTTCGTAATAACCATATAGGCGTGCGCCTGCAAGCGATGAATTTCTTCGTTTCCTTTCCAAAAAATAGGTTACTTATTTCTATTTATTTTGAAATCGCAACGATAGAACGAGTGAGAGAGGCCGTCAGCGGGAATCTGTGAGTTGCCATTTTATCGATTTGATGTTAGTTAAAAATATGTTTTCCACTTCGATTTTATAAGCTTACACACCAGCTCGAAAAATGGGTATTACTGGATAGTTAATCAGTATGCATCTTTTTGAGTAAATTAAAAATTAAAAAGAAGCAAGAGAGCCACAGTAAAGGGTAAATAAGCTGTCTGAGTCACTCATTTGGGCAACTGGCAAAGAAGGATGCTGGTTCGAACCCAGGCTAGCGTATATATACAGCATAAGTATGGCAACTGACAAAGAAGGATGCTAGTTCGAATCCCAGGCTGGTGTATTAATATGGCAAATGACGAAGAAGAATGCTAGCTCGAATCAAGCTCGAGTAAAATATTAACTGAT